AATGACTAAAAATACACTCATTTGCCTTAAAATACTTAGCTATGTCCATTTCTGTTGTTAAAATTCAGAAAAAATAAACTTTTTTGGTACGTCAACTTTTGATCACAGTAGAATCCTATACCACTAAATTCCTGAACAAATCTCCGGAAAAAAAAGTTTCTCAAAAATGACTAAAAATACACTCATTTGCCTTAAAATACTTAGCTATGTCCATTTCTGTTGTTAAAATTCAGAAAAAATAAACTTTTTTGGTACGTCAACTTTTGATCACAGTAGAATCCTATACCACTAAATTCCTGAACAAATCTCCGGAAAAAAAAGTTTCTCAAAAATGACTAAAAATACACTCATTTGCCTTAAAATACTTAGCTATGTCCATTTCTGTTGTTAAAATTCAGAAAAAATAAACTTTTTTGGTACGTCAACTTTTGATCACAGTAGAATCCTATACCACTAAATTCCTGAACAAATCTCCGGAAAAAAAAGTTTCTCAAAAATGACTAAAAATACACTCATTTGCCTTAAAATACTTAGCTATGTCCATTTCTGTTGTTAAAATTCAGAAAAAATAAACTTTTTTGGTACGTCAACTTTTGATCACAGTAGAATCCTATACCACTAAATTCCTGAACAAATCTCCGGAAAAAAAAGTTTCTCAAAAATGACTAAAAATACACTCATTTGCCTTAAAATACTTAGCTATGTCCATTTCTGTTGTTAAAATTCAGAAAAAATAAACTTTTTTGGTACGTCAACTTTTGATCACAGTAGAATCCTATACCACTAAATTCCTGAACAAATCTCCGGAAAAAAAAGTTTCTCAAAAATGACTAAAAATACACTCATTTGCCTTAAAATACTTAGCTATGTCCATTTCTGTTGTTAAAATTCAGAAAAAATAAACTTTTTTGGTACGTCAACTTTTGATCACAGTAGAATCCTATACCACTAAATTCCTGAACAAATCTCCGGAAAAAAAAGTTTCTCAAAAATGACTAAAAATACACTCATTTGCCTTAAAATACTTAGCTATGTCCATTTCTGTTGTTAAAATTCAGAAAAAATAAACTTTTTTGGTACGTCAACTTTTGATCACAGTAGAATCCTATACCACTAAATTCCTGAACAAATCTCCGGAAAAAAAAGTTTCTCAAAAATGACTAAAAATACACTCATTTGCCTTAAAATACTTAGCTATGTCCATTTCTGTTGTTAAAATTCAGAAAAAATAAACTTTTTTGGTACGTCAACTTTTGATCACAGTAGAATCCTATACCACTAAATTCCTGAACAAATCTCCGGAAAAAAAAGTTTCTCAAAAATGACTAAAAATACACTCATTTGCCTTAAAATACTTAGCTATGTCCATTTCTGTTGTTAAAATTCAGAAAAAATAAACTTTTTTGGTACGTCAACTTTTGATCACAGTAGAATCCTATACCACTAAATTCCTGAACAAATCTCCGGAAAAAAAAGTTTCTCAAAAATGACTAAAAATACACTCATTTGCCTTAAAATACTTAGCTATGTCCATTTCTGTTGTTAAAATTCAGAAAAAATAAACTTTTTTGGTACGTCAACTTTTGATCACAGTAGAATCCTATACCACTAAATTCCTGAACAAATCTCCGGAAAAAAAAGTTTCTCAAAAATGACTAAAAATACACTCATTTGCCTTAAAATACTTAGCTATGTCCATTTCTGTTGTTAAAATTCAGAAAAAATAAACTTTTTTGGTACGTCAACTTTTGATCACAGTAGAATCCTATACCACTAAATTCCTGAACAAATCTCCGGAAAAAAAAGTTTCTCAAAAATGACTAAAAATACACTCATTTGCCTTAAAATACTTAGCTATGTCCATTTCTGTTGTTAAAATTCAGAAAAAATAAACTTTTTTGGTACGTCAACTTTTGATCACAGTAGAATCCTATACCACTAAATTCCTGAACAAATCTCCGGAAAAAAAAGTTTCTCAAAAATGACTAAAAATACACTCATTTGCCTTAAAATACTTAGCTATGTCCATTTCTGTTGTTAAAATTCAGAAAAAATAAACTTTTTTGGTACGTCAACTTTTGATCACAGTAGAATCCTATACCACTAAATTCCTGAACAAATCTCCGGAAAAAAAAGTTTCTCAAAAATGACTAAAAATACACTCATTTGCCTTAAAATACTTAGCTATGTCCATTTCTGTTGTTAAAATTCAGAAAAAATAAACTTTTTTGGTACGTCAACTTTTGATCACAGTAGAATCCTATACCACTAAATTCCTGAACAAATCTCCGGAAAAAAAAGTTTCTCAAAAATGACTAAAAATACACTCATTTGCCTTAAAATACTTAGCTATGTCCATTTCTGTTGTTAAAATTCAGAAAAAATAAACTTTTTTGGTACGTCAACTTTTGATCACAGTAGAATCCTATACCACTAAATTCCTGAACAAATCTCCGGAAAAAAAAGTTTCTCAAAAATGACTAAAAATACACTCATTTGCCTTAAAATACTTAGCTATGTCCATTTCTGTTGTTAAAATTCAGAAAAAATAAACTTTTTTGGTACGTCAACTTTTGATCACAGTAGAATCCTATACCACTAAATTCCTGAACAAATCTCCGGAAAAAAAAGTTTCTCAAAAATGACTAAAAATACACTCATTTGCCTTAAAATACTTAGCTATGTCCATTTCTGTTGTTAAAATTCAGAAAAAATAAACTTTTTTGGTACGTCAACTTTTGATCACAGTAGAATCCTATACCACTAAATTCCTGAACAAATCTCCGGAAAAAAAAGTTTCTCAAAAATGACTAAAAATACACTCATTTGCCTTAAAATACTTAGCTATGTCCATTTCTGTTGTTAAAATTCAGAAAAAATAAACTTTTTTGGTACGTCAACTTTTGATCACAGTAGAATCCTATACCACTAAATTCCTGAACAAATCTCCGGAAAAAAAAGTTTCTCAAAAATGACTAAAAATACACTCATTTGCCTTAAAATACTTAGCTATGTCCATTTCTGTTGTTAAAATTCAGAAAAAATAAACTTTTTTGGTACGTCAACTTTTGATCACAGTAGAATCCTATACCACTAAATTCCTGAACAAATCTCCGGAAAAAAAAGTTTCTCAAAAATGACTAAAAATACACTCATTTGCCTTAAAATACTTAG